TGTTAATGTGTGGGAGGTAGATGAATTGAGAGGTAGCAGATGAAGTGTAGAGCAAGTAGGCTGCACGTAATAATGAGGAACGGCGATCGAGTTGATGGCACGTGGAATTGTTCAGTGAAAGTTTGTAAAGTAGGTTTGCTAATGAGAATGTCGTAGATGTGTGATTATTCGACTCCTGTTAAATCCACGTTCTCCCCCATTCCTAATGATAATGGCCTTCAATACTAAAACTACCTTCTGCTTGAACACTGTGTCTAATTCTGAAAACGCATCAATTGATAACACGAGGTGCTAGGACTTCAAGAAGAGAAAACAACATGCGGATCCGATTCCTGTGTTACGTATGTTGCTCGTTGCTTTTTAATCGTTATAAGTCAATAATCGCCTGACCCAGTTTCTATTCGTTAATCCAGGCGCCACGGTGGTCGGCACGATCGCGACCTGGACTGCTGGTTTTGTGCACCCGGATTTCCTTCTAAAGCACATTTATGCGTTTATCCGGCAGAAACCAAGCCAAACCCCAGATATTATCAAAAAAGTTCAATTTCATGGAACAGCTTTTATTTTACAACCAGAAACTGTTTTTTTTTCTAATTTCAAATCAATTATTGTAACACAGTTGCAACCTCCCTCAAAAGCAATAAAATTTAGTACCCTGTTTTTGGGTAATTTTGAATACCAACAGCACTAACAATAATTAGGGCTCAGTCACACCCACCGTGTGGTTTGAGTACAACTACCAAAACCCTTTGGCACTGTTTTTTGATCTGTGAATTTGAGAACTTTCACAAGTCAACGATTAAAGTAATTTTAGACATGCGTAGACTCAGAAAGATTGAGAAATGGTGCCATCATTTGATATTCGGCCAACAAAGTATGAACACAAAGAGTGCCCATCCAATCTGACTTTATCCAAGAATTCCGACATTTAATGATTCCTTAACTTAGACTAGCCTTGGTGAGATTTGTATAATGCTTAGTTGAGTGTTAAACACAATTTCTGAACATTATAGATGACTCTACTTAACCCAAAACAATTATCAGTCGGAGTTTTAGGAAAGAGCAAATTGTATGAGTGACGATAAAAGTGTTCGACCGTATTCAGTGTGAGTATCATTATGGAGACACAAACAGTTTTGTGAGTCGCATCTCTATCAAGTGGCCGCCTAAGCTCGTTTTCTAATCTGTCTAGTGTTTTGCTTGACCTCTCCTGCTGAAACATCTGTGCTTTTGTCGTCCATTGTTAATTGCGCTTTGGGGGCGATGTCAATAAATGTGGATTCCAACAAGGCTGAAGATGTCCACGCCACGTAGATTGCATGCTCCTGACCCACTTAGTATCGTAACCAATGAGCGCTTCTACTTGCAATCCACCCATGACACTAAGCAAAGTATTAGTAAAATTTGTGTGTGACGGCGTAACCTAACATGCATGACCACAAATAAGTAATTTCAAAATCATCAGTACCTTAAAGGCTTGTCGTGTCCTGGGCAGTGCATGTAACACAAGTGTAGGAGGCACGGTGGATTGGGTGAGTGGGGCTTAAACGAGTCCGAAGAAAGCTATACATTGTTTCCAGAGGACACACCAAAGTGTGGTCAAAGTTTCAAAAAAATGCTATGTGTAGAGGAAGTGCGCGGTTTGTCATCACAGTGTGGGAAAACAACAACAACAAGCTACTTACTGGTTAGTATTCCGCCCGATGCTAATTTAAAGTGGCATAATGAAGTGGTCAAAAATCAGGCCACGTATGTACCCACATAAAGCATTATGGGGAAATAAGTTTGTTTGCAGAGTATTATGCCTACAAAATTCACTACTTTAAATGCCAATAATTCCTTTGGCTCAACTTCCACATTTTGGTAGGGTTGGATTTCAAACTAACACAAAAGCTTGCAATGCAGTCGTACTTTGTTACGGAGACCGCAGAAAAATGACATTGCTTTTTGGTTAAAAAATAGCAGTTTAGCTACTTCAGTTGTCAACACAATACCACAGGTAACCCAAACCATGACACGGCCTACGCAAAGTTCCATCGAACAAGGCATCGAAGAAAACAGTGCCCGCGACCACCACACCAATCCAACAATTAAATTACTCATTTGAACATACTGTACCACCTATTGTGCGGCATCTACCAACCACCCAGGAGCCTACAAACCGGCATTTATGATCCAGTCGACGAGCAGTTTATCATTTAAAAAAGAGGCACATTTTAACCCCCCTACCAGGCCCGAGTCCAAAAGACCCCCGATCGGCAATGATCTGAAACAACAAACACCCAGAGGAACGAACAAATAGCCGCGAGGTTAGAAGTTGGTACACGGACACTGAGTGTACTAAAACGGACAATATTTAACACGATAATAAGCTACGACAAGGTCCTGATTAATCATAACACGATATAAACGACAATCTTTGAGAATTTATTACTAAAACACATGATTATGTCAGAGCTCAGAGGGTTCTATGCATCTTCAGCTTCCTCCTCCTCATATTCGCCTTCATCATCGGCCGTGGCGTCCTGGTACTGCTGATACTCGCTCACCAGGTCGTTCATATTAGACTCGGCTTCGGTGAACTCCATTTCATCCATGCCTTCACCAGTGTACCAGTGAAGGAAGGCCTTGCGGCGGAACATAGCAGTAAACTGCTCACTCACACGCCTGAAGAGCTCCTGTATAGCAGTACTGTTACCAACGAAAGTGGCGGACATCTTAAGACCTCTTGGTGGGATGTCGCAAACAGCCGTTTTGACGTTGTTGGGGATCCACTCAACGAAATAGCTCGAGTTCTTGTTTTGCACATTGAGCATTTGCTCGTCGACCTCCTTCATGGACATCCTACCGCGAAAGATGGCAGCCACAGTAAGATAACGCCCGTGACGTGGGTCGCAAGCAGCCATCATGTTTTTAGCATCAAACATCTGCTGAGTCAGCTCAGGGACAGTGAGCGCTCGGTACTGCTGACTACCACGGCTCGTCAGTGGTGCGAACCCAGGCATGAAGAAATGGAGACGTGGGAAGGGCACCATGTTGACGGCGAGTTTGCGGAGATCAGAGTTCAGTTGACCGGGGAAGCGCAAACAGGTCGTGACACCGGATATCGTAGCGCTGACGAGATGGTTCAAGTCGCCATAAGTCGGATTTGTCAATTTAAGTGTGCGGAAGCAAATGTCATACAAAGCCTCGTTGTCGATGCAGTAAGTTTCATCGGTATTCTCAACAAGTTGGTGGACGGAAAGTGTAGCATTGTAGGGCTCAACGACCGTATCAGACACCTAGAAGCAGAAACTCAAAAAGAAAGTCTATTACCTTAGGAGAGGGCACAACGGAGTAGGTCACCATGATGCGGTCAGGATATTCCTCACGAATCTTGGAAATAAGTAGTGTTCCCATACCCGAACCAGTACCACCTCCGAGGGAGTGAGTCAACTGAAAGCCTTGAAGGCAATCACAGGACTCTGCTTCCTTTCGGATAACATCAAGGACTGAGTCGACAAGCTCGGCACCCTCAGTGTAGTGGCCCTTTGCCCAGTTGTTACCAGCACCACTTTGACCAAAGACAAAATTGTCCGGTCTGAAGATTTGACCAAAAGGACCGGCACGGACACTATCCATCGTCCCAGGCTCGAGATCTACCAACACAGCCCTGGGAACATATTTCCCACCGGTGGCCTCGTTGTAGTACACGTTGATGCGTTCAAGTTGGAGGTCCGAGTCGCCATGGTAGGCCCCAGTAGGGTCAATACCGTGCTCGTCAGAAATAACCTCCCAGAACTAACAAGAGAAATAAAGAAAAATAACAAAATGTTACCTTTGCACCAATTTGGTTGCCACACTGGCCGGCCTGAATATGAACAATTTCGCGCATGACGGTAGAAGGAGAACGAAGTCAAAATACCGAAAACTGCGGGCAGACGAGCGGTTGTGACCGTTAAAAGCCAGTCAGACATTCATTAAAACAAATAAAAAAATCAGATCTACAAAAACCCAAACAAATTCGCATTCAATTGCAAAACAGCTTTTTGTGGCCATTTAAAACTACGCAAAAATGTTACGATTCCGTATCATGTGATAGGAAAGACAGTGAAATATTCCACCTCCATCAAAAGCGAAAATTTCCGAGGTTTTAAGTTCTATAAATAAGCAAAGACAGAATACTGAGTTCAAGCACTTATACGGACATTTTTTGCGTTAAATTTTGATTTTATAAGTTGAACTTACGACCTTAATCCTAGAAACTTGGATTGTTAAACTGCTTCTTAAAAACATGCTAAATCAACATTTATACGGCTGTATAAATCGAGTCGCCTGTCCCATTATAGGGTCTTATCTGAAAATGTATCAGCTAAACTTTGAAGAAAAGCAAAAAATTGACCACCGAATTGATGTCATTTTAAGTGGGTTAAATTTATTTAACATCGGTTACGAAAAATTGATTACGGCAGCTTACTGCGTTTTCATCCAAATATTTGCACCCAAAATTATTTTATTAAGACTGGCCAGTATTTTGTCATCAAATGTGAATTTATTTTCCTAGAGCTCTTTTTTTCCCATCCAATGTCTCCATGTATTGAGTTTTTCTAACTTTTAACAACAACTTAAATATTGGGCCTTAAATACTAAATATCAGGTCAAATTCATATTTATCTCTTGGGTGATATCAATGATACATATGTAACTGTGCTTCACACCGAAGTAATCGCTTATAAATTCTAGATTCAGTGAATTAATTTTTGTTTTTATCTACCTTGAATTATACTAAAATTGTAAAAACTCTGCTGCCTTTGTAATATGAAATGTCACTTTGATGAATTAGCCTTAAATATCATCTGATTTACGGTAAAAGAATATAATAAGAGTGTAAGATTTCCATCTGGACCAAGGTACACATACAGCCAAGCTCTAACAGTCTTCACTCAATGGGGTTATTCAAACTAGAATTAGCCTAGAATAAATTTTCAAAGGTTGAAAATAATTGTACCTTTTATCTGACCATTACATAATGTGTGCAAGTTATGTATTTAAAGAGACCTATAGGGTGCGAATAGAATCTAACTTCCCCTCTTCACAAGTCTCTCATCGAACAAAGTTTAACAAAGAATTCATCCTGGTCATTATAGTAAGAGTAACCACTAGGCAATAGTACCAGTGAGAATGTTAAGACCATGGCAAATCAAATTTCAACAGCTTTTACTCTGCTAGGGTATTCAAGGCAATTAAATGACAAACTGCAAGCACCGTGATCTTCAAGGAAAAGCATGGTCGGGTACATTATTTTACATTGGCTGCTCACTATGCGCGTCAGCGGTACTACAAAGGGTTTCGGGATCCTTGGTTAGAAGCATGTACCTTGGGTGAACTTTAAAAAGAACGAGTTTGGTGTGTGCGACTTGGACTCACCCACGCCTCACCAACGGCCACCTTTTCTCAATCCTCCGCATTGCCTTACTGTCCTAGGAGTCCTGAATAAACAACACGATTATTCTCCTAGCACATGTGGTTGAACTTTTACATTTTTTTTTAAAATTTTATAGTGATACATGCAACCGCTCAAAGCAGTAACCTCTCACTATATTGTCTAAATGACAATCATGACGAAGCTGAGTTCCAAATGCTTTTGGTGGCGGCCCCATTAATCACACTTTCCAACGATGTCGGGGATCAGAGGTCAACATTTAAGACCAGTAGCACAACCACCGATTAGAAAACCAATAAGGATAAGACCATCTTATTTGCCAGGAGACATTTGTAAAGATTCAAATGGTCTGTGATGTTATTGAAATTCTAGTCGATATGGCGCGATCACCGACTAAAACTGTGACATATAATAATGTAAATTTTTGCATAAGAATATGCTATGGACAAGACATGCAAAATTAAAGACACGTAATATTTGGAAACATTGAAATTGACGGAGCAGTACGTGCATGCATATGGTAAAAAAAGGATATAAAGAAACGTAAAATGGGAATTTAGGAAGAAAGCTTCAAGGGTTTGTCCGTAGGAATTGAACAATGGTTCGCTGACGGGGCGATACGATTTGATGGAAGGGCTTCGATTTGTTTCGTTTGTTTGATTTTCTCTTGGATTTGGTTTTTGACACACGTGGAGCCACCTTTGTTGTGTTTTGGCTCATTAGAGATTTTGCACGCTGTGGAGAGGGCTTTGTACCTGAAATGAGTAATATTCGGTCTAAAGATTGTCCTCTCGGTCATCCGATAGACACCTCCATAACTTGTCCCGAGTCATTTGATCCTTACTCCATCATACAAGATCTGGGACTTAGAGCTGGCTTTAATTTGATTAGTAACACTTGGGCCAGTGTGTTGACGGCTGCTCTCACAGAGACTCTAAATGGTGACTCAAACCGTCAAAAAAATTGAAACTGGATACAAGTAAGGCTTAATGCCCCATGATCACGATTTTGGTGATTCGTGATACGTGCAATAACGGACTACGTGAGGTGGAACACGCCTCCTACTAACTGAAACTCTCCTATTCAATCCGATGTCTGTGTTGATTACTTGAAGCTGAACGCAGCAACAAATGGGGTGCAAATCTGAACGGAAATTGAGAGAACTACGACGAGGGAATGTATGGCTATCCCACCAAACTGCACGGGCTCTTCGGAGCATCCACCCAACAAACCCTTTTCACCACAAGTACCTACCTACATAATTAGACTGGGAATCAAATTTCACCAAGAGGGGAATCTGAAAATGACACGGTTAAGTTTGTCGACACTTCTTAATGACCAATCAAGGCAGAATTTTCCGCAAACATTGACGAAAAAGTCGAGGATCGATTTTAACACAAGCGCTAGACCGCCGCTCCATCAGCACCGAATACTTTGCTGGCGTTTTAATATCATCGATTTCAGGAGACACAGTTATAAAAAAGATTAGCCATATTTTACATATTTATTTGAATAATTGAGAAGAGAAGATTGTTGATGGAATTGGACTACAGGTTGTGCAAGCTACGCATTGATATTTCACAATTAGGCTCCAGCAACAAAACAGTCAAGAATATGTTCGAACTCCTGTGGGCGAGAAGTGAATTGCAGCGTGACATTTTGCCAATGGGAATTTCGAGAATTAAATTGTCAAGTGAGGGATGCAATGCAACCTGGCAAAGAATTCTTTGTTCAAATCCAACTTCCACAGAGGTGAGCATGGCGTTTGGTGTGGTCAGTTGAAAAGGGAAGGCGTGGCTGGCACGTGCACGCAAATCACCAAACACCAATTCACCAGAGCAAACCACCAGCGGTTGGCAGCCTTAGCCACGGCCATCCACATGGAGCGTTTCTTGCAACTCTAACCTGAATTCGGCAAAACACACGTGTTTGCCAGCACATATTACTGCAATTCAGTGCACAAGATACTGCTGATTTCTTGTAAGAGAACGCGAGACTGAGCAGATTTACATGCACCCGCACAGGTGGTTAATGGCACCTGAATTTACGGGGAATCAGAATTTGACCAGAATTCCATGCGCCTACTGATAATGCTGCAATTTACACACTTAAAAAGGCAACATTCTTCTGAACAAAGCACTATCACAGCGGAAGTCTCGATGGCAAGTAATATGCAGAACCATACTACACAGGAGGATATTTTCAATTACAACCGACAGAAAAGCCCACGAGTTTGTTGGCAGCTTTGGCTTCAAGACGTCTGGGTGTGGAAAAAGGCACTGCACTATTCACTGTCAAGCTGAATTAGCACTAGAGCCAGCTCTCAGCGAATTATAGAAATTGACAAGGAAATACGACTCGGGAAATTTGGAGAATGTTCTTGATACACTTCACAGGTACCTTTTTTGATATCTAAATATTTCAACGATAAACATTCAGTAAGGGGCAATAGCTTGGAGCTTGGACAGTCATGAGGACTAATGACAGCTCAAGGAAACACTCACTAGGCTCGTCTGCTTCCTCCTCAGTATCGTCAAACAATAGCTTCGGTATTTTCTTTGGGCTACAGGCACCAGGATCTGATTTTCGCGTTGCTTCATCCTCTTGTCTAAAAAATACAGGCGACTTTAAAAATAGCACATGCAAATGAGGTCATTCATTAACCTTGGGACATAAGTAGCCGTAATAAGTTAATTTCAAAGGGCTACAAGGCTCAACCAATAACCAGGAAACGAAGGATGACCAATGATGGCAGTGTGAACAAACCACTTCAAGTACATGTAACCTATAGGTACTTTTTTCGTTGGCTTAGAGTACTACTACTACTACCGCTGGTGGTACTGAGTTTGAAATAGTACCAGTGATTCTCTGCAATTGGCTTAGTCCTTTCGGATGAATCAGTAGGTTTCGCGTTGAAACAAAGCGGCCGTGTTTACCTTGGATTGAGATCGGTTTCGGAGAAACGTCGCGCCACCGGAGAAGGCGAGTCATTGCCCATCACCGCCCAATCCAGATTTGACTGGAAGCGTGCATTAAGCCGACGCTTCGGCTGCAGAAGCATTAATAAAACTAATTAATGATAACGGAGGACAGCCAACTCGTCAGATCGTAAGACGGCAGAGGTTCTTAAGTCATGCAGCTAAGGGGAATAAGGTCTGCTTTGAATAAGATGTAGCACCAAAGTACCTAAGTAGCTTTAATTGTACGACGAGGGGTCTAGTGGGATTCCCAGTAAACAGTGAAACATTCTCAAGACCACGGGAGGCCGAATGTACAAAACCGCGACAAATGGCCATGATAAAAGAAGTGCAAGAATGGAAGCCAGTCGAGCGTGCCACAAGTTCGATAGGATGAAAACAATGGACGAAGTAAGGAGCTAACGTGATAAATATCAAGCTTCCTTCCTAGCAGTGCTTCGACACATAGAGCCCCTAAATCAGATCAAGAGAATGGGCATTCTAAGTACAAAGGCAGAGACAAGGCCTTAAGCAGCACTACAATTTCGGAAGCGGCTGAGGTAGCAGTGGCCTCAGATTGCCTTGGTGGAGTAGTGGCCTTGGGTGTGCGTTCAGCACTCGTGGGTGATTGAAAAAACGCCCTGATGGTTCGCTGGCCGAAAGGCGTCCTTGGGATGCGCCAGGGCGAGGCCTCGGAGGGAGTTCTGATGAGTTGAACAAGCTGGGCGGAGGCTTCAGAAAAGATGAAAAAGCGGGCGAGTTTAAAAGCAGCCCTGCCCTGAATAGAGCCACCGGCACGCGTCGGCTAAAATAGGAAATCAGGAGTGTATGGGAGGCCAAGGACAGGGGAATACTGCGTGCGTGTTAAAGAGGAGTGCTAATTCAGAAACCTACCCGATTAGGCGTAGGGGTCAGAATGGATTCACCTCCTGCCAGGAATGAGGAAGAAACCAACAGCTTCAATTTTTGACAGAGCTTTTCTCTGACTTCTTTTACCGTTTTGAGGGGATAATTGGCGTTTGCTTCTCTTGCCATTCGCCTACCACCAAAAGACGGCGGCTTGCTGAAGGCCTGCACAGCCGCGTCGAGACAGGCTCCGACAGCTCGCGTGGCGGCCTCAATCGACATGCAGGTTGCCTCGCTGGTGGTCGCCAGGGTCGAGTCCTCGTCGTTCAGGTGGCCGGAGAGGGCGTCCTGGCAGCCGCGGATGGTGTCGGCAAGGTGACCCAGACAGGGGGCGGACAGTCGAAGGAGACGGTCGTCTTTTTCAGCCAAAGTGGAAGTGGTTGTTGAGTCCGTCATGCAGGCCGGGTAGGAGAGAACTAACTGGTTACAAGCAAAAAAAGGGAATGTCATTTATCATTAATGACCACTCGGTATGCCTTCTCACAATCGCCAGACATTCGTGGACCCGGTAATAAGAGCAACTTCCCTCTCTAAAAAAACAAAAAGGAGATAAAAGACGTGTTATTCATCGAGACCGCATGACCCAGGGCCTATAACCGCTCCCGTACACTAAGGCTTGCAGTTCCTCTCTGCCACGCCATTTACTGACATCATCAACGAATGCGGTGCAGAAGAAATACTAATAGCGTGTGAAATCACGGCCCAGCCAAACAGTACACATTCGGTTACTGCGTCTGAAGCCATGCTTAAAATTGATTTCAGTCGAAGAAAAGAATAGCTACTGAAATTCCGAAACAATACTAGAAACGAGAAGTATGACAATTCATAGGCATCACTAGCTATCGCCATTTTTAAAAGGCATATTACCCCCATGTCCTATGAAGTTCAAAAACTTGTTGCCTTCATCGAGCACTACTCAGGTACCTAAAACGGCAAATATCAGCCTACCAGTTTAATAAACGATGGAAATTCAATTATTCATTCGACAAGACATATCTACGCTGCATCACTACTGAATATGTGCTCTTAGCACTTTAGAAACGTTAATAAAACCTGTTAAAATAGTAGTTTAAGCAACTCCCAGGCAGGTGACTAGAAGTGAAAAATCCATGATAATTTAACACATAAAAAAGGCCACTGCGACAGTTATTTCCACATTGGTTGGTTGGTTGTAATTGGTTTATATCATCTTTAATGAATCACTTCCTCAAATAGTGCCTTTGCCCGCTTTCTACAGGTCATTCGCCTAATTTGGCGAGCCTGGGTCGATGTTTATGGAGGCGAGCTACTAAGCTGAACCAGTGCACGAATACCGGGTAACATGCAAGACAACGCCTTACTACCTTGTCCCACTCATATGTGCAGACTTCTAAAACGGAAATTTACACGAACAGTCCAGACAACATTTGCATAAAAACTTCTTCGTATTCGATTTTGAAGTTTTCCATGCAACCTTACTCCCACCTTAGTAAGTAAGTTCACTTGCTTGAATAGGCTCCCATCATGTTATTACCTAACACACTTAAACATTATCTCACCATACATACGGCAATAAGTCACCACGTGCTGGTGTTGAGGCCGAAATGTCTAATTCGATCGATATATCGGCCTGGTTATAAGTGTCCAACAGCATATGTGACTGATTACTCGACAAATGTCTTGTCAATACTAGAGTAAATTCAATGGGGCAAATTAACCGCGCGAACTCCACAATTCGGTACGAGTCATTTCTATTTACGTGTTTAGCACTAAGTCCAGATCACCTGTTCCCTCACCTTGTCGCAAAGGGCGCATGCTGACTACGTGGGGATGTACGCAGAACACGTTTACTAATTGAAGATTTGAAACAACCACACAGGGGTTAGTCGAGAGGCCACGCCAACGCTACAGCTAATATATTCCAATCACAGTTATAGTTGCACACGACACCTAGCAGAATTAGGCTTGAATGCTACAGCCGAATAAAACGGCACAAAATACTTACCTGACCAGGCGAAATTGAAGATCGTTTGGCTGCACGTCGGAGAACGGAAAAGAAAGTTTTTCCAAATCCACGAAATGGCGAGTTCATTATGAGAGCAAGGTCGATTGTACTCATTACGTTAACGCTGACCGCGAGGTAGGCTAGGAGGCTGCGGGCAAGAGGATCTGGCTGAAGTTACCGCATTAGTCAAATGCATTAAAGGCAGCTTACCTCAATATACCGTTCTGGTAAGACTTCACACTGATGTAAAGAGCGAAAAGGCACCAAGTGGGGTGTCTTCGTAAACCGCAAATTGGGAACCTTAAGTTCAATTAGCAGGGATGTCACCAGGAACTAAAAGGGAATCTTAGCTTTAGGAACTCCCATCTATAAAACAATAGTTTAAATTTGATATAAACGTAAGCGTTCCTATCGTTAAAAAATCCATGAAGTCGCCATAGGAGATTCGTCCACTCGAAATGCATGTAATGAAAAAGGAATTAATATGTACAAGAGCTTGCGGGCTGAAATACAAGCAGCAAAACTTGGTCATAATTATGGCTTATGTGGTTTTTTATGCGTCACACACAAACTTAGTTGTCCATTATGATTGCTACGTTGAATGATGAAAGCGATAAGCTTACTGGTTGATTCGGCAAAGCCAAATTATACATAATGCAAATTAAGTAAAAAACTTTGGAGCAGAACCGTATTACTTAAATAATCGGGTTTCATAAAAAATAGCACTCACCTCGAACCACGACAATTGGTCAGAAATGATGACATATTCAGCAGCTTGCAGAGCTTCTTTTAGGGAATAATTTTCATTATATTCAATCATTATGGCTTTCAGCAGATGAACGCGGTCGACAACATTGGCGTCTAAGAGTAAATCGTCAACGGCATTCGCGAGTCCACAGTCGTCACCTTGAGGACCGAATAAGCGCCTTTTACACACCTCGATCCATATTAGTTGCAATTCGACTGCGGATAGCTTAAAATGAGACGAATGAGAAACTAGGTTGGGTAATAAATACGTTTTAGACGCAAAATGATATGGGAGATGTTTATAAAATATCAGACAGAAAATTCAGGAAGTCTAGGCTGTTTTCATCGAAAAGTACAACTTGCCAGGCAGCATACCATCAATTTACTAAAGAAATAAAGCATATATGTTGTAAAGCGACTTACATCGACGTTTGAAGTAATCTGGGATAATGCCAAGCGCAGAATGGTCATCTCATCACGGGGCCCAATAAATGTCTCAAGGTTGTTTCTTTCCAGGAGAAATTTGCAATATATCGTGTAAAGAAAAAGGCTCAAGCAATTGTTTTGAAAGTCATTTCGTTTTTCTTCATTGGAAGAGACCGTTTCGAAATGACCAATTTCCACCACAGTCATTTGATTTGTCTACCCAAGGCAAAGACATGCAATTAATATTAAAAAGAAAATACCTAACCACGTGCAGGATTATCGGTAGCGTAACACAGAAAATACTAATTTGACAAAAAAAGGGTTTAGAGAACGAAGTATTTTTAATCCCTAATAGTGAATAGGCGTTTTGGTTACATAAGCGTGGGAATGAACACGAGATGATTCATATGGTTATTAAATATTAAAAAAAAACGAAGGAAATATTGCAGTTAGTGATTTGAAAATGAGGCATCCTTGGAACTCAGAACACACGAAATCCGATAAATAAAATTCGGAAATAAGGCCACCTAGTAAGGGGTGGATTCCAATGACGCTTTCCAATGTGTAAAAGAGTAATAAAAGGCTTGAAACTAGTAAACAAACTGAATGGTTTAAATTTTCGTCATTTGTTAAAGTTAATCAAGGGCGAAATGCCGGTCGAAAATTTTAACCCTTTTAAAATATTTTCCTAAATATGGCTATTAAAGTAACAACAAAAATAATTTATATGAAATGAGTTTTGAATGCATGCATTGTGCTCCTGAGAACAAAATTTGTGAAAGAGGGCTTAATAAACGAAAAAACACGCAAAAAAGCAATAGGTTGACCACACCCAAAAGTTTTGATGGAAATTTCAATTGGCCGCTCATTTTTTTTGCATGCGTAAATGATTTATTAAATGCAGTAGAGTTCAGGAATAAAAAGGAACTGTCTGGATAATTTAAGTTGACGAGATCGATTATGGGAATTGGTGTCTTTTATTACTAAACTTAACGATATCACATCCGTCCCAAAACCTATCGAAATGCACTTTGACATGGACTGCTGAGAACTCTTCCAGATTTAATGACAATCATGATCATGGTTATACCAAATAGGGCATGGTTTTTGCTTTAGACTGTTTTTAAGTAACAATGGGAAAAACCTAGTTTTTTTTTACATTGTTCTTGAACGCATTCAATGAAATTCTACGATTTTTCCAACCTAGTTCCCAGAAATTGTTATCAAGTTCAAAGAATTACTTTTAGCACAAAACGTTTGTTTCCTGGACCTTTAAATGCCCGGGCTTAGAGCACCAAGTAGCATTATATTTTGAGTCATTAACCAGAAAACAAAATACTGACCAAACTGGAGAAATGGGCATTGAGCCTGGCATGGATATTCGAGGCGAATAAGTCGAGAAAACCCATGAGAAATTGATCACTGATACTTTAAAATGCATATAGAAATGTAGCAGGGCTGTCAGAGACTAAGCAAAGCGATCATTTACCGGACGAACTCCCTGATTGGAGGCATGAGTGACAAGTGGTAGTTTCAAATATTATGCATTTTTGCAGTTATGTGCGAACACAGCCTGAAACTGCAATATTAAAATGCAATAAATATATTTTTAAACTCAATGCTTCTAAATTGGCTTAATGTTTACCATTGGCTTCATAGTTTTGTTTAAAGTAGTCATTTATGTCGTGGTCTGTCAAACTTTTTGGGCTGTTTTTTATTACTGGCACAGTAACATGCTTTTGTCCGATCCAGAATGTGCAACACTGACTCAAATGTTACTCTCTGGTGTTCGACTCGATGGACGAACATTAAAAGAATATCGCGAAATTAACTTTCGCTTTCCAAGCGGCCACCCATGTGGTGGCTGTTGTATTGTTAACATTGGGTCAACTTCGGTACTTGCCAAGGTTTCAGCAGAAATTGTTGAACCAAAACATTATAGACCTGCCCAAGGCGTTGTTTTCGTTAACTTTGATGCTTCAATAGTTTCATTTTTGGAAGGTATGTAATGTTCATTGCGACTCTTCTGACACCCACCAGCTTTCATCATATGTCGAAATCACTTTTTCAAGTAAATCCATTATACCTTGCACAAAATCAATCAAATCCTTGTTTTGTCACACTGTGTGAGGTGACTACCTCGTACATTCTGTTTTGCCTTTCTCAAAACTGTTCTTTTAGTTAGTACCTAGTTCTCATCTTTCATCAGGCGAAGCCATTATTTCTTTAACTGTTTTCACCGACAGGATTTAGTTCTAATAGTACTCAGATTAAAATTGTTCTGTCGTTGTTTGTCTCGTAATTATTCTAATCCCCTAAGTATATGCAAGTTAACTCTAATTTGTACCGGCTAATACGCTCGTTTTGCAATATAAATTGTATTGCAAGCCCTTGTGTGGGATGTTATTTGAACATGCTATTCTCGAACACATGATCTGGTTTTCACCTCCAATCTTTTCTTGTCTCACGTCTGTTGTCTATTGATAACCATCTATTTAAATGCATTGAAACTTTAACGTTTTATACACCGGAATTATTAATGCTACTCTCCCTGCACAATGAAGTGGTTTTGTGTGCTAAAATCAAGTGCTTCGAGAGGGACAATGAATTCTTAACTTTTTGGGCCACATTCAGGCTTTCTGTGATTCTACTCATACTTTAGTAATTTTCGTGGTAACGTAGTAGTTATTTTAGGTTAATACATGTTGTGGCTGCTAATCTTTGACAAATAGCCATCGGAGTATTTTCTTCGAAGGCTTCGTATCTGTGGTCACGTAAATTAGTTCTTTTTTATTTGCACCGAAGTGACGTTCATTAAATAAAAGAGGTACCTTGTTAGAGATTATCATGCTTGTGTTGACAAGTACAAGAGCACAAAAGTGCTCAATGATGCTCTGGACAAGGGGTCAAGTGACGTCATCGTAAAAATGCTCGAAAACTTGCTGATTCCAGCATTGTCTGCCCTCTCACAGGTAAGCGCAAGGGTCGGAGTCGTGACGATGAAGGCCGCCGTCTGTCTTCCGTCCTCCAAATATGCTTCCGAGATTGTATTGACGTTGACGCACTCTGTATCGTTGCGTGGGAGAGGGTATTCGCCATTCGCATTGACCTAAGAGCTCTTTCCTTCGATGGTAATTTGGGTGACTGTGGGGCGCTCGCTGCAGTTGCTGCTTTGGCCTCATTTCGAAGACCGGACGTTTTTGTTAATGACGATGGAAAGGCAAGTTTATTTTAACTGATACTGACACATGCCTTGTAACTTGTCCCGTAGATGGTTTAAATGCATGCGATCTATAAGATGACATTTGTAGTACCACAAAAAAAAGTTTTTCCTCCTCATGAGCTTCCATGCTTTCGTGTTACGAGTCGTTATTCTGAAAAACTTTGCAAGCTGTTTAGCTTCTAGTTGCTTGAATACATGGTGAAGCATAAGTGGCATCTTAATGTTGAATGCGATTACAAGTTTAATAACTTTCTTGATTAATGTAAGTGTATTGAATATTGTTAAGTGTTTAGTTTGCATTTTTGCAATGAATAAAGTACATTGAAACAACACAAACAGCTGTTTGTTGACAACCCAGCTCACCTTCCGCATTACTCAGGCCAAAAGGCCAGAAAATGCCACTTTACGAGAGAGTGAGAGATGGGCTTCTCGATTCATGTCACAAATCTAGGAACATAGATACTTGTGGTATATGCTTTTTAGTATCAAAATATACGTTACGGATCAGTGGGGAGCCGTCACATTTAATTGTGCATACAGCGGTTTGGAATGAGGACGAGCAACGTACATCAGTTTCAATTTAGAGCTAGACTTCTTGGATTTTTATGTAAGTGCAGTAATTGGACTTTTGTCTCGGTTGTTGGGTTTCGTTAATCTCCCTGGTGTCCCCTGTTCTGTGAAACTTTGTTGCCGTTCTGTCTCTTTAGGTCGTCGTTGACACTGAGATGAAGCGTCGACCGCCAGTGCGACTGAACATGCGTAGAATCCCGGTCCTCGTAACCCTTGGCCTGGCCTCGGACACCAAGATCATTCTCCAGGACCCTACGCAGCGGGAAGAATCGATAATGACCGGTGGTCGTGTGATGGTCGGTCTCACTGGACATGGTGAACTGTGTTGTGTCCACACATCGGGTCTGACAACGCCTATCCGACCCGAGAGTCTGTCCAGGTCAGTAGCTGGGGTTTTTCAATTGCTCATGTTGAGTTTTTGACGCATGTGGCAGCTCTCACCATTTCAATCCTTAGCTATATTCTTTTCCTGGTTGTGTTGTCCAAATCGAATTCCCAGAAGTATTATGAGAACTTGTTAGAAGGCTTGCTACCTAGGATATGTATAAATGTTTCAATGTCTTTGCGCTGTCTCGGTACGAAATGATGACAAGTTAAGTGGGAAGTCATTAACACGCACGCGTCCATCTGCTGCTGTTTTTGTGCAATTAATGTGCATACTCACATCCAGGATTATTAATGAAGGTTTTGCAATCCATCCTAAGTGGCTCATTTTAGCCGCGTTCAGTTTCCGCGTTCCCACATAACACTACACACACAAACATTAGACTCGGTCAACATCTGGTCTTTCCGTTTATACCTTTTTTTCTTGTTACTTTATTTCTTTAAGTTTCGATGCGGCATACAGCAATCCAAAGTATATCATCAATCGAGTAAATGCCTTGATTAGTAACATATGCATCTAGATCCGATCATTCATTAAGGCTTAACATCGAAATCTCCCTGTTTTGCTATTTCGCACATGTTAAACCTCGACATGTCTTGTGATCAAATTTAAGAAACAGACGTGATAACAACTGGCCTGTTAACCTATGAAATAACGATATTCGGTATTTAGGCCGGCTTTATTTTTGCTTTAAATTAGTTTACAGCTACTTCATTTTGCTGTTACATATATTTACACAAAAATGCATTACCCGTATTATCTTCTTTAAAATAATCGCTTTAGGTGCATTGTTTTGGCTAATGCACGCGCAAAATCACTAGTTGCTCTCCTACACCGAGTCATCGATGCTTTCGAACGCAAATATGTGGAAACGACTGCTGCGCGATCCAGTGACCTTGACGTAGCCAATCGCGACCTCTCGGACTTGAACCTCACTGCAAGCTCTACTTACTTCTTACCAGGCGGGAAGAACGCGCCTGAAGGATTAGCCCATGTTGAAGAGGGCGAATTAATGTCTGGAGAAGACGATGACTTCGACATGGAGGTATGTTCCACCGAAAAATCATCGGAGGGAGAGGTGGTTGATAATCCTTTGTCAAGAGACCCGTATGGGGTTATTGAAGTCTCGAGTCTACTTGCGCATCAAGAAAGGCCGGTGGGGAGCGTAGATGATAACAACGGCGATCTGGGCTTTCAGTCGATCGAATCAGACTCTGCGGCCCTTACGCGTTCACTTCTACCACACAGAGGAATTAAAAGAATCACTAAGGGGAGTAAGAAGAGAGAAGTTTTGGATGAAGAGGAAGAGGAGGGAACTGATGTTGTACAATTGTATTAAATAAAGGTGAATAAATTTTTTAGAGATTTTTTTGCAAATGTAACGGCACAGGAAACGTGCACTGTAAATCGTGAATGGACTTTTTACTGATTATAACTGAACCATTTCTGTTGAGGTTTGCAAACTCCTAGCAGGTTCCCTTAAACCACGCGGTTGCATTATATTCTAATTCGGTAAGAGCGTCAATCCAGAAGTTAAAATATCGGCAATTTCCGAGGTGCCTGCAAGTGAGTTTTATCATGTATGTGTGAAGACCTTTTTTTAGATTTCAATGCCTATTTGTCAGATGATCGGGACAAAATCTCTATCTACTTAACTTAGTTCTGGGAACCGTTTTCAAATTCAATCAACAAACAAAATTAAATTAGATCCATTTAAAAAAAGAAAAATCTGTCTCTAATAGGAAAATCGGTAAATAACAATGCTTGATGAGTAAAAAATTCTTCCGTCACGGTCAATAAAAGCGGCTCCAGCCTAAAAATATCTAATATAGCTCATACACTTCAGTTAAACTATAAAATAAAAATATCAATAAATGTGCTATAGGTTTGGTCTTGGGTACACTCCATAATTACACTGTACTAATGTTGGTAAATTATTGATTTTTGGGATTATATCCTTGACACAGGGGATAAAAAAATTAGAGATTGTAACTCATTTCATTCTCATACATTGGTTTTTAATATATGTAAAAACTACTTTTTAATAAATTAGCAATGTGTATTGCAGTACGAATGCTTTTCAATTGGTTAAGTCATCATTTGTTCGCATCGACGTATAATGTATTTTTCTCGCAACATTTTAAAAATCAGCCTAGGCCAATTAAATGCAAATGATTTGTTGAAAACCCTGTTAACCCGATATCTCATTGTCGTTGTGATGCCTACCGTCAGGGCTGATATATCTATTTTCATACAAATTGGGTCTTTTCATAACCTTGATCTCTTTCAACGAGGGTAAAATGGTGTTGCTTATTCCTAAATTTTAGCTATTACCAGGTGAGGTACTACCTGAAGGCCGGAAACTCCAATTCCCCCGTCACATCTTTTGGTCAGTCAACAATCGTCATTTATCCTCCAACTGTTTTTGGTGGGTTTTCATCAGCTAGCATACTTTGCGGGAAATCTTCGAACCCACAATCGCTTCCTAAAGGATGTAGCACTACCGTGCTTATAATGTATCATAAGGAGTCCACTGTAATTAATAATGCGTTTGAGCAACAGATTCAAGTAAATGTCGAGACAACACAGTTAGAAGACGTCTTCAAACATAACGCACTTCTTCTTTGCGCTGAATTATGGTTCGCAGAGGAGACAGAAAGGTAAAATAGCAAATGTTACTTTATTTCTTTGAATGTTTTTTTTTTATTTGAGGCTTAGTACTGAAGCCTTGGTCACTTTCCTGGTGTGCGTATGTTTGATTTTTTGCCTCAAGTCTATTTTCTATTTTTTTTTCGTGGTGCCAAATGAGTTAAGCTATGTTTGAATGCATTGCTATTCATGAGGTGTGCTGGGTTATGCAGACACTCGCTTAATTTTCCTGATGGCTTTCTTTATTTTCAAAATCCGATGTACTGACGCATAAAACTTAATAACTTACTTTTTTACCGTCTTAAATTTGTTTAAAGCAGTCCCATTTCGACCTTTTAAAAAAACTGGCCAAATTTTTTAGTGTTAATCGATATATCCTCATGACTTGTGAATGGCTTTTTTTTATGTAGCGACGTCAGTAACGATAAGTTGCAACTTATTTCGTCACGGCAGATGCGTGTCCACTTGTCCCCTACACGTGGACTCAGCCACCATTTCTTGGTCTTTTTTGATTATACTCATCTGTGTGCTGTGGACTTCGTGATTTATGGGTACCTCACCAGCATTCTCCCCGGCCTCTCTAGGTTAGTGACATTTCTTATCGTCTTATGCGACCTCTTATTTGGTTTCAAGTCCACCCTTCCTTGGTTACGTCCTGAATAAAACCATGCCCCTTTTTGAATCAAGCCCTAACCTTTCACGAAAAAATGATATTTTAGAAGCAATGTGGCCCCTTTTTTCAGATCACCTTCTCTTCCAAGCAACTTTCAGTCACTAATTGCGTACGAAGATCACGCAAAGCAAACTTGGAGGGATGTACTACTTGGCAGCCTACTGTCGGTGGGTTTTTCATTATTAATGTACACTGACTTTCATCAACTTCCTCAAATGTTCCTCTATGCTCATGACTATAGTTTTGGCCCAAATATTGTATTTTCTTGTGTGCATGCTACCAGGATTGTCTGCTAGTGTCTTTGGCTGACTTTCATTCACCAGAACGTGTAACTGAAATATTCGTTCTTCACACCGTTTTATAAGTCGAATTTAGTATCATGTTGACCGGAGATATTATGCCTAAGTTCAACTCAAAGTACCTTCTCTTTCGTCATTGTGCATAATTTTTGCATTATTTCTAGTCTATGTTGCATATATTTTTAGAACATGTCTAATGTCATTTTGCATTTATCAAAAGCAAATAATCTTACCTTCGTATCTTAGTCAGCAATATTCCCAAATTGACTGAATTCAAGGTTATTCGATGTATAACTCGGTTCTATTTTAATGCGAATTTGGACTTTACTGGTGTTAGTAGTCAAACGTTCATTCTATTTCAATCCCGTAACGTTCTGGATTCAAAGTTTTGGCAAAATTGACATTCTCCCCGTTTGGGCATCCAAATGCAATCTGAATGATCGCACTTTGTTTGCCCAATTTTTATGGACGTCTTTGTCCCAAAAAATAAAGTCAACTCTAGTCCGCCTAATGAGTTCAGTCAGTGTATTTCTCTTGCCCGTTAGCTGATAGGAATTTTCCAAGTTTAAACATGGCGGTGTGACGTCGGCAGCGTGACTAAAGTGTGCATGTGCGTGCGCAGTCGAGGTAAAATTTTACAATTAAACAATTTCAAGTTTGAAAAACGAGTCTAGTTGACAATGCGACACATTGCGTTAACTGCACTAGTCGTCTTGGCCAAGGTGATAATATCGTTTATATCAAGCCAAACTATGTTAAAAACCCGAATTTTCATTCCCTACTGTTAGCTGTTTCCTGTGTTTAGCACCATGGTATGCATTTTAAACGAACTTTGCTGCAGGTAAGATATGCCAATGTCAGAAGCTGTTTTCAACACTAATTCATAAAATTGCTTTCTGCCTGCTTATTTGACCACCGCTTGGTTGTTGAACGCGTTAGCTTTGGTTTGATGACAACATGCCTCGCCATTGCTCCCCTCCCTAATCTGGCATTTCTTTTAATTCTACTGGTTACCCGTAGAATGTGAACAAGCGGCATTTCGCGATTGCTATTCACCGCCACTTGTGTCAAGCTCTCCTGTCGGCGCGGGAGAGAATGCTGATTTTGTGGCACGAAATCGCTATTTTCCTCAAAAATCAATTTCAACCAACTTCTGGTAAGTACTTGGCAGTATCTTCCGTGGTCACTATGCAGGTAGTTTTGCATGCAGAGCTGTATTCCCCATCGACCCTCGCTGTAGGCTAGGAGTCAGCTACTTTTTTCAAACTGTCCAACCTAGTTTGAACCAGTCAGCATTACAATCCTGTGTAAACCATTTTGTTCCACTAAATTCACAAATCAAGGAAGGACTACTTACATGTGTACCCATTGACTAGGTGTTTTTTTTAATGTCCGTGTCTACTTTGTCCACGTAATGATGCTGTTTTTCGTCATAAACTGGATGTCTCAGCCTCATTTAAATTAGCCACAAAAACGAGACTGACGGGATCCTTACGATCCCCGAGTTGAACGATATGTGACCATTCTACTGAACTGTGAAGCGCTTACCTACTAAACAAATTGTGTATTTATTTGGAAAGCCGATGTTTTATCTGATGCCTTCAGGCGTCTAGTTCCACTATCTTCGACTTATAACCATCTTTTACACTAAAGGACAACAATACCGTTGTCTTATGATCTGTTCCCACGAACCAGCTTATTGCCGTTGAACGACTTCTGAAAGTGTTTTTCAAGATGAGTTTGCAGTGTATGCCCGTGACATCGAACAAAATGATATCTCGGCGAAATTTGCACAACACGCAGATGACTACCTCCAGTGAGCGCTAGGAATTGCTCTTGCTAACACGTCATAAAACTTACCAATGTAATTGCTGTCGCAAAGTCATCTAATTTTACTTTTTTTATTGGAAGGAGAAGGTGTAATCACGTTTTTCCATTCGACTTAAGTATGGGTACTTTCTTCAAATATGAAGCCACCTTGAACAGTCGCAATTTTATCTTGGTGTGGTGTAGTTTTAAATACAATCAAATTATCAAAAAGGCTGGATTTTGGATTGGAATTAAACATCGTAATGGATTGAGCGTGCAATAAAACCTTCGACAGAAAGCATCTGGCTAATCAAATCGACTCTTCACCTCTTCTAAATGCTAGTGTCCTTGAAGGATGCGGAAGAGGTTGACTCTTGACTGTGATGCAGTGGTTAGTGGTTATATACTCGTGATTCACCAATCAGGGATTCCTCTTTCTCGGAACCTTCAAATCAGAATGTCAGAATGCTGAACCAAAACTTCACTTTCAAGGCTCGTTCAATTAATGGAATTTTACCCAATTTGAGTTATAGAATCCATGCAAAGACCATCGCTTCCAAAGTGAAGCGTGTTTTGTTTGTCATTACTGCATCTTTAATTGGTGAGTGCAATTACTCGTCAATAGTCCCGGTGTGATGCATTTATCCAAGCAGTTTCTAATTGGTTGGTTGCTGGCTCTGACTGGACGGAAAACGACCGAAAATTATCCACATTGTGGTGGTTCGTTTGTGCTTATTTGCAGTTGTGCAACGCACCCACCTTGCTAACTGTGCTAGTGTACTCGCTTGTCTTGTAGGATTCCTAGCCAAGGGCTGTTTTTGATGAAACACCGCAGGTCTAAAGATGTTGCACTTTTCTGTGGTAAGCGATGTGGCTGGTGTGTGTCCCTCATGGTAGCACAATCACCGCCAACCCCCTTCTGCGTATTCGAAGACCCCACTGAAACTTGCGCATGTCACGCAACGTTAATTAAGTGACAATCAGCGTTTTTGCCTTCATAGTTTAGGACTACTTTTAAGCACCTGAATGGTACGTTAACGTGTTTGTCGTCTAACCTAAATGAAGAGGAAACGTACAGCTAAAAATCCACCACTTCACCTTCACATCGGACCAACCCCCCCTCCCCCCAATTGGGGCGAAGTGCTTTGCTTAGGCGTCACTGGTTATACAAGTAGGCGGCGTGACATTTTCTCCGGCTAATGGTCAGATTTTGAGAAACTGTGATGGTTTTGTTATTAAAATAATGACGTATAACGTTACGCATCTCGCATTAGAATTTGATACCCCCTCTCTTCAGAGGTCATATTGAAGCCCAGGGCATTCCGAAATGTTCATAATATACACAGATTTTACTGTCTGGAACTTCAAACCCTAAGGTAATACTCTTCCAATCTGTTGATGGTTTGTCTGACCACTACCGCCATATGGTCTAATGCTCTTGAGGACCGACTTGTGCCAGTCGAAAGACTCGTTTTAGTTTGGTCAATTTGCACCATTTCCGCCTTCTCCTGTCGTAGTTTCAACTCTTGTTTAGATGACAACGCTCCCCAAGGAACACACAGTTAAGTTGTCTACAATCGAGGGGTGAACCGCTGTAGAGTCAAAGGCGCCCGAGTTTAAGCGGTTCCCTCTCTCTCCTTCCTACGAAGTCACGTTTTACGTTTATGATTAGCAAAATACTTCACGCCGAAGGATCTACCACAGTTGGCTTGGCCTGGCCGCCCATTTTAAAGTCCATGAAATACTTTTTTTACTTGTGGCCGCTTAATGGATCATTAAGAAATAGTCTTGATTTTTGTTTGAAATTTACCAGAATGCTTCCTTTGGCTCGCGTAATTCTTATCTAGTGATCAAGTAATTAAATGAACTTTCCGTAACTCATATTCGTGCTTGCTTTATTGGCTTGTGGTTCCTGAAATTCGTGAAATTATACTCAACAGTCGGTAATGCGTTGGGCAAAATCTACCTTCATGCAAGTGTTGTTCGTGTCGGCAAGTAGCATTAGAGTTGTTTGAAGTATTAAGCATTTCACACACGAACACCAGTTGGTATTTGACTCTCGCATAATTTGAGAAAACCTAATAAATATCGGCATTTATTTTAAATGTTGCTTCCGTAACACCAAACATTCAGTATGTTTCCTTAATATTATACATATTCGCATGCGAATGCAAAATATCTGCTTTAGGGCCTTGGGGTGGATTAGAATGAATGTTATGCAGTGCCTAGGATTCACTTCGTGGTACCGCTGTCGTCCTTTGGAGATACATTTCGAAAGCCTCTTTTTGGTATCGCATTGCGGATTTTTTCACTTAGATATTGTCTAACTCCTGCGATATTTTCCCCAAATCGTGACTCGAATTGATATTTACATTTTTTAAAAATTAATTCTTAATTCGCAGAAATTGCCGATTTGCGGGGTCTGCTTGAGGGCATAACGTCGAACTTTCAGGTAGGTCGATTCTTCTACCACCATGCGGGCTTGCCTCTTATTTTGCTACAAATCAGATTCCACCTCTTGCCCTTCCCGATTCTTGTCAATTATCACACCACATTATTTGCATGCTCCTATTTTGCCAGTGCGGCCTCCGATTTCTGGTCTATCTGCCGCTGTTTTGGATCTTTGGAACTCCTAAGCATAGTCTATTCTCTCGTGTAGACTCCCAACGCTCTACTGCAAAGCGTATTCCACGGTCAGTAGAGATGTGGGCTTAAATGGGGCGGGTCGCGTATGAGCAGTCAGGTGGTAGCTGTGCTGTGGCCCCCGGCGTGTAGCCTCAAACCTCACCGGGGCCACTGAGTTAAACCCAGCCAGGATGCTCCACCCTGTTGTCCGTCCGTTTATTCGCTCAACTTCGCCTGAAAACGTGTCTAGCTAAATGAGGTTGTCGATCAACACAGTCTGGGTGAAACCGCAAAAGTACCGATAGCTGAACGGTCAGGTGAATGAAACGGATAGCCTGGGTGTGGTACGCGCACAGGGGTGAATAAGCAGACAGTTTAGCTAGATAGATAGAGTAGGAGTTGAAATGAGACTAAAATGGCGAGGAATGAGATACCTGCGTTATTGAGTGTGAACTAATACGATTTACGACACTGTCATCTCCCCTCCCCTTTTGGGTCCTCATGTGACAAGCTTGACCTTCTCTCATTTAACCGAATTCGCAAGTAGAGCAGGCAGTCAGAACGCGTGCTAGGTAAAGCGGCGATTGTGGATATTAGCATTGGCATAAGGTCATAGTTACTTATCGAAAAGGGCGAGACATCGCTTGTATCAATGCTTACCACTCATTGATATCCGTTTCTGTTAATTGTGAAAAAAAATTTACTCCGTCGCACAACTTTAAGGGCGTTGTGATTTGGTAATTGCGGAGGCCCTCTGGAAATGTAAGCGAATCCAGTTGAAGTTGAAGCTGACGTGAAGGTATCCGGGTTGAAAGTTGACGAATTTCCACCGCGAAGCTTTCGATTGGTCAATGTTGAAGGTTGTTAGACTATGGTGTCAAAATCGGTAGTCATCTGGGAGTTCTGCTTGAGTAAAGTCTATGTCTTCCTATGCGGTACTGTCAAGGGAATGCGAGGCAATGTGTCTGAACAGTTAGTGGATGCAGCCTTCGCAATAGTAGATGTTTTTGCTCGCTGTAAAGACTCTCCACTAGTCCATTGAATTCTGGTTAATAGGATTTTGCGGCACAGATCTTGGAATTAGCGAAGTCTACATTTAGCACTGCAATTGACAGCGATGGAGCTGGGACCCCCAAACCACGACACTCAGGACTGTTAATTGGGTCCTTTAGCAAATGTTTCGGAAACGCTTTGAGCGAGTGATCACGTCGCATCAACTAATACGTGGTCTGGTTCCTTTCAAGCATCGTGAAAGCACCCTAGATTTTGTTGTGTTGGGGTGGCTTACATCCCTGCAAACTAACCACCAGATACCAGGGCGGAGGCTGGGATTTGCGGCGGTGGCTGACACGAGGTTGTTGTTGTGGGAGCCACTGAACGGTGATTAGAGAGTCGTGCTTACCGATAATCTTCACACCACCAACTCGTTCAGACAGGCATCCGTTGATAACTTACTGCAATTTGAGGGAATGGCTCTAATTGGCCCCATAAACCATCTTCAGATAGGTCAAAAACAACCGAGCCATGAGTCAAAAATGGACTCACCAATTTCCTGTCATGTTGCCTTCAATCAGGAGAGAGTACCCCTGAAAGTATACAATTTTCATTCACTTATCTCCTTTGTCAAACTTGTTTGAGAATTAAACGTAGTCATTATTTTCCCATTTGTCTGCTTCTTTAGGATCTCTAAACTTCACAACATCTATGAAGCAGTTAGAGATAATGAAAATGAATTCTAAGGCTATGGCGTAGAAATTCTATTGAAAATAGGGAATTCACTCGCAATTATTTCAACTAATTTTCCGGTTTCTGTGCGTGAATACGTGACAGAAATCCACTATCTTGGTAGAGTTCTATATTTCAATTCCATAACGCTCCCTTTTGCTTTGATGAGGGTTAATTGCTGGGATGCACTCCACGATTCGCCCGCGTGAGCACTGATAGCATCAAGTTCGACACCCCCTGGTATATTCCATGTGGGGACCCCACAAAAGGTGTAGATCAGGATTTGCTTCACATGATGCCAAACTCTACCGATTTACAGCTGTCCCTTGAAGTATTCCTTTAATATACGCTCTTCAGCTAGCGTTCGTTTTACTATTTGACCTTCCTCGAACAGCTCATCACTTCTGAAAATGAAATGGAAGCAACGATAGCACGAGATATCGAGGCGTTGAACGGGGAGAACAGCATGATGTTCCGGCAAATCTGTGAGTTTGCCTTCTCAACAAGCAAGGTTGCCAAACATCTGCAGCGGAAGTCACATCAAGTTAGGGTATGTCGGTACTGTTTCCTTTTTTTCCTTTTGATCACTTCGGTAGCGGTGCCTTTTTTTCACTTGCTTTAGTCAGAGATATGGCGGGGATGATAACTTTGTGCCTGTTTAAAATTTTACTTAGGCACTAAATCACTAAAAAGCAGTTTTTTTTCCGAAATCTGGAGAACCCTGTGCTTCGTTAGTGAATTGATCGAAATGCACAGAGAACTGTGCGTCGCTTTGGGGCGTTTACGCATCGATGTTTACCGTTTTGGCTTGGCTGATAAAGCTGCCACTTACAGCATTCTGGTGTTTACTTTCATCCTTCCATTTCTAATGACTGTTTACTGCAATTTTGGTAGCTTATGTCGGCATTTTGCTGACATCGTCAAGGCGTGTTGACGTGGGACGTTTCGCCATATTCTCATACTGATATTTGTCTTTGCTAGATGAAGCGAATGGCGGAGTCGTTTTTCGTTCAAGAACTACAAATCCCCCAACTTCTCGCTGTTTACGAGCCCAGGTAACTTGTCACTTGCCCGCGTCCTTGACGCCCTCATAGTCTATATTTGCACTTCATACAATTGCAGCATTTCTTCTCAGTTCGGTGATATCACAGTTGTACTTCTCTTCACCACCCAGTTTCAATGCGTCAGGTCGTGAAACACCGCAACCATGTGTTATCATTACCGAAACACCGGGCCGCCGCTAGACTGATATCCGAGAAGGTCAAGAAGACCAGAGAGGGCGAAGTCAACCGTTCACCAGATGGCTTAACATAGTTGTCGTGTGCGTGCACACGTTCAAAGTCGGGCAGGACTTTAATGCAGTTGTTGACCAAAACAGTTTGAGTGAACTAGTAGAAGCACAAGTGACTGGACGGCCAATTGGGTGAGACGAGTAGCGGGGAGGGGTGTTTGGGCAGTGAAAATGGGGGCGGTGAGTCGGAGAATTCTGCGCCAGAATCAAGTTAGGCATTAATCTGCAACAGCTTCTGACGAATCGTATCAAGGCCGATTCAACACCCTCTTTTCGATTATAGTACCACAGGTCACGAAGCAATGGCCTCGGCTGTCCGACAGTCACAGTATTTTCAACAACTTCCCGAACTTCCAGTTTCCTGCCGAGAATTGGATGGAGACCCATCAAACATTCCCATCGTCTTTGAAGATGTTTACGTTCCCTTGACTGAAGTGAGTGGCCCTTATCGTTTTCATAATTTGGACTAACAAAGTCGATTCCACAGGGCAGCGTTCATTGCCTGGACTTCGCGTGCGCCAAACTAAACTTTAGCAGCTAATCGTTGTTTTGTACTTCGAGTAGTTGGTTATATGTGGTTATCACAAGCGTTAAATAGGTCTATCAATTGCCCACTTAACGTGCATTTCTTATGTGCGTGCTGCGCAAACACTTGCGGCTAAAACCTAAGTTTTCTTTCTTGTCAGAGATTTTCACGTCGTCTTGTGTCTCTTGGAAGACAATGAACCGTGTTTCCATTGCAGTCGACGGCGATCCATGCCATGTGCTATTTTAGCTATCGAATGGATTACTAGCAGGTGGTTTTTGATCGAACGCATGAAGCATTTTGCAAAATACCGTGTTTTGTAGAAGGACAACACTTCATCATTTCGAGGGAAAATTTAGCAGTCCAATACTCACACAACTGATTGTGCTTATTTACTTGGATGTGCTACTTTGCCGCCTTATAGGCACTTGAGCGGGGCGAGAGAAAAGTAACGCATGGAGACGGAGACAATAAATGCAGAAAAGCGGCCTCCTTGGTGTAGACGGTCAGGTTAAATCACGATGGACACATGGATTGCTAGATTCAACTAGTTTCCTGCAATTATTTAGATTCGGCACTAACTTGGCCACACTCTTTTCAGAGTGTTTATTGTGTATTTCTGTGGACGAAGTAATAACCTAGTTATTTCCAGCGCAAAAATTTACTGGAAATATTTCTCTCAAGTTGGCTCTAGTCAGTGATCGTCTTCAGCGGAAATTGTTTAACGCATAACTTTGAGCTTATATTGCTCCAGTCGGTTCGCTTGTTAGAATGGTGTGAGGCTATAGCTATTAATTTTTGTTGGTGTCCATTCTAGTTGAGTTTTAATGCAGTTTATCAAACATTCGCTTCCGAATGGTTTGTCGTAATTTGAGCTGAAATGCGTCTAAATAACCCAAATTGCTAACGGTCCATCCCTGTCTGATCCACTTTTCCGGTGAGTTATCAAATCCGTCTTCACAATCGTTAATACGGGCCCCGATAAGAGAACATGTTTAAAGCACCACTTTGAAAATTCTAATCTCTCAATTGACGTTGACTTTTCGGATACACTCTAGGTGGATATTGGGCAGCAGTTTATGTGTGCATCCATTCCACGCTTAAAAGATCTTAGCAGGTTTAAAGATTGAAAAGAAAAAGAAAAACGGCGGTAGCTAGGTTGCTTCGAGAGGTAGACATTCCAGATGGCCCACCTACGCACGAGATTCGTGTCTCCTTGGCCATCGACAAACGGTTTCTGCAAATCCCGTTTAATGTCGCGACGAAGGCTCACAAGCCTCACCATATCTAGCGTCCGGTTGCCGCATGTGTCGTGTTTATTCGCAGAATCCAAATGTCCTCTCATCTGCTTGCATAAAAATTGTCTTGATTCCTCTTCTTCTTCCCCTTCTTCTTCCTCTGCTTCCTCTTCTTCTTTCAAAGGCACACTTATCAGGGCCTATTCATCTCTAATGTGTTTTATTCTCGCTGCTCGCACTTCGTTGGCAGCACATGCAAACTTTGGCAGAGACTAAGGGGTTATGTAATACATTTGTTGGGTTTAACGGCTCAAAAGGCGAAAGTCAACCGCTATCTCAATGCACTGCCATGCAAAATAAGTACTCCCATTCTCCGTGTCAATCATCTACTGATAAAAATCGCAAAAGCTGGACTTTAAAGTGCAAACTAAGTACAGTTTCTTCAGTGAATTTCCTGTAGGCAAAAGTCTTGGTCTTTCCTTCTTCTATTTGTTCAAATCCTGACACTACGTACCTGGCTGCCTTGGTTTGTTTGTCTGGTTAGAAGGATTTTCCATCCTCAGTTAAACGTCAGTATACACGTGCACTGACTAGGATTACATGGAATGACCGAAAGCGTCGAATATGCGTTTACTTGAGGACTCGTGTGTACGGACCATCGGTGCATGAGTCGAGAATCACATGACTGGGGTCAAAACGGTTTGGATAATGTGGGTGTCGTGCTTTCGTCTCATCGCAACTGACACAAACGCCTACACTGTTGAATCAAGCTTGTTGCGACGCTACATGCCGTAGTGGTCAAATGCTCAAAAAGGTGGCTTTTAGATAGGGAATAGATGTCTTGAGAGGACAAACGTATGGTAAACTTATTCACAGACTACTTCTTTTAAAAAAATGTTTAAGGGAATGAGGCCTCGGTCTAATCTCGCATGTCTTTGGTATGCGTTGTTTGGCTTTAAACAAGTCCTTTTTGTTACTGGGATGAAAGGAATGGAGGTTACATTTCAGTGTCGCTGTTAACAAATGGAATCACGAGCTTATTCGGCGACTCTTCTGATTGGTCTCTTCTGACTTTGGAGTTTGATTTTGAACACGGAAGGAACGCTATACCGTGAAAAGAAGTGGTCTGCAGGTATAGCCATATCTGACGATGCTCCTGTGTGTTAGTGACGTGTAGTTGTTAAAATCCTTGTGGAGGTTGTGTCAAGCTAGCCTTAAGAGCTTGGACGAATTTCGGCACGATTTGATAAATGGTTATTGTCTTGAAATACTGATCATTTTAATTATTGAAGCCAATAATAGATTCCTTGTTGTTGCCATTTTCCCCTCATTTGGTAGATAATTAAATGGTGCTAAACAGGGTAGCACTGTCTAGACAAAACTGAACTTTTCCCAATGCGCTGGGTGGATCGGTGTCCACTAGTGATTTTTGTCCTCGGTACAGCAGAGTGCCGACCACTTCGTTGCATTCCAGAAGTTCATAGTGAAGCATTCATGCTTGTTACACAAGTTGAAGACATTCCATTCGCGAAAACTGTCGAATCCGGTTGTGTTTGCTCATCTTGGACCACTCACTGCCTCGTTCCCATACCTGTGTGGCCGTGTATGGTAATCACCCTTTCAGAAATGGCTCTTGCTGGTGGTGAATGCATACATTCGTGAATCTAGCTAAGTGTATTTTGTCAAAATGTGCAGATGGGTTGTCGCACAGCCCAAACAATCGACAGCGTCTGAAGAAGCCTTAGGTCTTATCCAACTTTACCCCCGTATGCCTTAGCACGGTCTTCGTATGTAACGTATGCAAATGGAAAAGTGCATTGGTGCCAGGAATCGAACGTGTATCGAGTTTTTCGAACCAACAGTTAACACTATTTTTAGGCGCAGAGGAATGGGGTAGTTCAGTCTACGTTAGATGCCATTGTTCCCGTGTCGAGCTCCAAACCATCTCGGCGCATCCAGAAGGAGGAGGGCATTCGGACAGACTTCAATCATCGCCCGGGTACGTTTTTCCCTCGTCTCTCAACTTGTGACAAAAAACCAAGTTTTATCTCGGGACGTTGTGAATTTCCAATGATTCTTACTTAGTCGAGCGTTTTTTTGGTTGTAAGTGGCAATCGTCTGTAAAATTAGGTAAAAATGATGCTTCACAAATCTTTTCGTTTCGAACACGTGGTCGTCCTCAGCAGCCAAAAGCCATTTCCACTATCAAAGTCTGTTTGTGACAGCCAAAACCGGTTAAGTTGCAGCTAATTGACTAGATTTCAGTATTGTAGGCTCTAGAAATGTTTGAAAGTTGTGCAAAATGCAATCTTTTTGAATAGAGACGAATGTCAAGGCGATGTTGCCCTTTAGTCTGTGTCAAAAGAATGCATATATGCTCTGTACTGCAAGTTGTTATTACAATATCGTAGTATTTATATACCCCAATGCTTTTCACAATTTGCCAGATTTGACCCAAAAGTGAATGTGTTGGTCTGCCATGACAACGCCAAACATTCGTTTCTATGGTGACTCGAAACTCATTGTTTCAACTTGGCCGTCACGTTTTAACTTTATCCTTTAACCTCCAACTAACACTTATTTAAACTTTTCGTGAAAAGGTAGTGGATTTGAGACGGCATCAAAAGTGTGTGGATTTGTTTCCAGCTAAAAATTTGTCCAAATGCTAAAAAAACTCGTTGATCAGGATGCCGTGTACGTGTTTGTTACAATATGTTTCTGAGTTGGCAACCATTTTCCTTTAAACCACTGGATTAATTTGCACTCTATGTAAGTTGGTTGGTTTGTGTGCAGCGTATCGCCCAGCGTCAGTCGTGGCCGGTTCGACGTCGTCCGTCGAAGACACCATCCTCGCGGATCTCGCTGTCTCGCGGTCAGGCAGCTACAAGAGCCTCGTTTTCGGACGCAGTCACTGCCTGGTGCCGAGCGAGAGCCGTCGAAATCGGTTTAACCTGGGTCGAAGGGTTTCCACACGAAGTGACGTCGCCATCGCCGGTGGCCGGAGCGATGTTAGGCTCCTGAGCTATCGACGCATAACGGACGACTCGCCGGAGCGCAACGGCATCTCCCGCTCCACAACCTCGAAGTCTCAAGACTGTGACGACGTTGATGATGAAAAGGGACATTGGCGTGCGGGAAGTGGCAACGCTAGCCGATTCTCGAAATTTGGCGAAGCATGGTGAGTTGTCTTACCGGAAGGAATTTGTTCACTACTTCATGGACAAATCGGACTTTTTTAAATTCACCTGTAATCACTATACTCAATTGACGAATCATCTCTGATCATGAGAGACACGTATTGTGAAGGATAAGCGGGTGAGAACGTCAGTTGAACCTCACTATGCTGGCCTGTTTGTTCATCCTTAATCTCGGGCGTAGTATATCCCTCTGACTTTCTTAGTTAATACAATCAAAGTCATCCATTTGAGACGTTTTCGTCATCCGAATTTGCTGTTTGCTGACGCATTGCTGGACCAACTTTGACGCTGCGCCTAAACTTGTTTGCAAATACGATTTCTTCCAAGTCCTTTGCCTGAACGTCCAATAATTCGCTGGTCTGGTTTGTTGGGGTTTCGCCACACCGAAGGACCGTTTTTACTTACGCTTGGATAGCCCCTTGGCCTCGCTGCAGGTAGGTTTTAGCTAAGTTGTCAAGATTGCAGCGTACGCGTTACCAAGAGCCCTTGATGTCACATTCGCCTGCGCATAATCATGTCTTGTTCGTATGTAGTTGTCTGCATTGATAAACAGCTTCACTCAGCTTATCGCCATGGTCCTGAATTCTGATGGTGTTGTTTTACTATATTGTGCCTGCGGTCGTAGGCTCAATTTCACTCTTCATTGCCCTTTGGTACATAGTTATTTTCGATCTGTACAAAACGCGGTGTCCACAAAAGTCAGCCGCAGCATCGCTTGAAATCTAAGTGGCCTTTTTTGCTTCGAACTAGCGGTCAGAGTGTTTCACTCCTGTCGCTTCCGAGTCTCGATGTGACCTCGCCTGTTCCTCTCCCCAAATTCCACCTCCTCCTGCGACTAAAACACAATCGAAACCAGCGCCAAATGAAGCATGCTCTTTCAACGCCGAATTTGGATGTCGCTGCCGCAGCCGCAAGTTCCGAGGCGCCTCTTAACCTGCGGAGTTTCTCCGTCGCCTTGGAGGCGGTGGGGCGCTGTCCGCGTTGCGGGCTCCCGGACTGGGGTGGCGCCGACCGGCCCACCGACACCGCCGCCGCCGCCGCCCCCTACTCGCTCTCAATGCCCTCTCTGACGTCGCTCGATCCAGGCGGAGGAAGCTGCTCTCTGTCTGACCCCGGTGTATCCAACAGCCTGCCAGTGAGACCCTCCATGAGACGCCTGAAGCAGCAAAAGCGACAGCAACAGATGGCGAAGTCGTTGTTTGGGCGGAGCAGCAAATCTAGGTGCGAGGTTCATCCGCTCACTTCGTGATATGTTACATGATTGCTGTTGTTTTTTTTAATGCAACGAAGGGATGGGAGTGGGTTAGTCGAGGGGTTTGATGAAGTATTGCTTCTCTTTCTCAAATGGCGTGTCCACAAATTCTTGCGAACTTGTTTCCAGGTAATGGCATAAACAACAACTTAATCCCTGCTCCAAACACCGGAACATAGACAGCCATCGCCACCGAATTGCTCGTTACAGAATCGCAAAGCACTGCTTCCCCTTTAAAACTCGTTCCGTTAAACCTGGAAGTCTTCCCTGTACTGCATCCATGTTTTAGTTGTCGTTCGGCGCATTTGAATCATTCGGCAGGCGAAACCAGAAAAAAATAGCTGCTATGCTGACTTTTCTATGGTAATGTTTGTGTTTAATATTG